GCTTACATTAATGATATGTCCAGGTGTCTGAAATCCTCTGAGTCAATCATGTTTGCTGATGACACTGACTTGATTCTTCATGGGGAAAACCTTGAAGATCTGTTCACAGTTGCAAACTACGAACTAGCCAACATTCATAGCTGGATGTTAGTTAATAAATTATCTCTTAATGCTAACAAGACTAAATTTGTATTATTCCATCCAAGCAAGCATAAAAGTGTGAGTTGTACAAAACCACTGCTGCTCAATGGCAATGAAATTGAAAGAGTGAAAGAAATAAAATTTCTAGGAGTTATCTTCGATGAAAATCTGTCTTGGAAATCACACATATTGCATGTTATTGGTAAAACAAAAAGAAACTTGGCAGTTGCTGCCAAAGTATCCCAGTGTGTTAATCAATCAGCTTTACTAGCAATGTTTCAATCATTACTACTCAGCCATATCCGATATTGTTGCTCAGTCTGGCTCCATGGTAATAAAACACTTGTCTCAAAATTGCAAAGTATTTGTAATAATTTTTTAAGAATTCTTTTTAGGAAAGGTAAACGTGAAAGTGTAAACCATTTCTATAAAAAGCTAAATATACTCAAAGTTGAAGATATAATGAAATTTGAAGTATTATCATTAGTCCATGATTTCCATAACAATTCCTTGCCAAACTGCTTCGACGACATACTAACTAAAATTACTTCCAATCGAAGAAGTAGTTCCAACCTGTTCATACCTTTTATGAGTACATCTGTGAGCCAGCATGCCTTATGTTATACTGGGCCCAAGCTGTGGAATTCTCTCCCCTTGAATTTGAAGACATTGAAATCCAAAAAATCTTTTCAGAAAAAAGTCAAGTCCTACTTGGTATCAAAATATTAAATTTATTATTAGAATCACACTGTTATATATTTTTCGTATGTAATTAGCTACAACTTCAAAAGAAAGACCATGACATAAGTTGGGACACTCAGCACTTGCACATACTTATTGTTTTCATGAGAATGTTGAACACCCATAACATTGTTATTGTTTCTGAGATTGCTGATTTATTTTTGAAAAAGCAGTTGAGCTCTCTTCATCTGTTTTGCATTCTAGTTGGCCATTTATTTTGTTCTATAGCATAAGATTTTCCTTAATATGGCTGTTCACATTCTGATATCTGCATGCGCATGTTTCTTTTCTTTCAATGTTGGGTTTCTGATATTCCACATGCGTGAACTTTGTTTTCTATTTGGGTGGTGTGATTCTTTGTGAGGGTTGTAGACAGTAGAATTAAACTCCTGTACCTAATATTGTAATTAGGTGACCAGTCGAGGTATATTTGGATTCTCCCCTATTGTTATTGTTTCTGAGATTACTAATTAATTTTGAACTAGCAGTTGAGCTCTCTCCATCTGTTTTGCATTCTAGTTGGCCATTTATTTTGTTCTATAGCATAAGATTTTCCTTAATATGGCTGTTCACATTCTGATATCTGCATGCGCATGTTTTCTTTTCTTTCAATGTTGGGTTTTTGATATTCCACATGCGTGAACTCTGTTTTCTGTTTGGGTGGTGTGATTTATTGTGAGGGTTGTAGACGGTATAATTTAACTCCTGTACCTAATATTGTAATTAGGTGACCAGTCGAGGTAGCTATATTTGGATTCTCCCCTACATTTTAACTTGCTGTAGTACTATATGCTGTGTCCTGCGTGTGTACAAAGTTTTTATCCTTGGTCGAATTTATGCTGTGTATAGCATGCAAATGTGTAAGGGTTAGTGTGATGTTAATGGCTAAGATAATGGCATACATGTGTGTGGTTTGACCGACATCAAAAGGTTTTTGCATGGTTTGTGAACAATTTCTCTTGTGTCCCAACCACAATCTCTTCTTTCTCAGGTATTTTAACTAGCAGTCTAATGATATTTAATTAATATTAATCAATATTTATACAATTCAACAACTTCCACTCAAAGGTGTAGGGTAGTTTTCTATTGATTCCTTATTTGCAATCATTGAATATAGTGCTCGCAGATATATTTTTCGTTTTTCAGGACGTCATGATGATCAATTTAAATGCTATCTATGTCAACATGAAAGGTGTATACATCCACAAAACTTGCAGACTGATGAATCATCCGTGATGAATTTGAACTGACCGCAGTGATCAACAACCTCAATTAAAGTTACTTGCCTATAATCCATGACCCTAGAAACCTTACTTGAACCTTAAACACCATATATATTCCCTTAACCAATTTTCCTACCTCTGTATCATACCGCCCTAATTAATTTTAATTATGATTACCGGTACTGTTATTGATTAATAGTATTTAAAATAATTTGGACGTTATTTGGCTTGTTGTGGCTTCTATTTGATGAGTGAAGCAGGTCTAGCCCACCTCTTCATACTTCCAACTTGGCAATTCTGATTGGGCAATTTGGCATTAGGTGAGTCCAATTATAATCAGCTTGACGATATCTTTTGAGGAATACTTTTCTATCCACAATACATTACTCTTGTTGACTAATTCGGTATCCAATTTGGCAATCCTCATAAAATTATTAATTTGGTGTGGCAAAAGAATTTATTCATTCTTTTATTTTCATTTTTTCATTTTCATTTTTTTATTTTTCATTTTTTTTTTTTATTTGTTTGTATATTTTCCTTCCTTTTTACTTTTAAGTCTCGCTTTTTTCGCTCCCGACTGTATAATGTCTCGTTGATTGTGTGTGTGTGTGTGTGTGTGCGTGCGTGCCTTAATTAGTTTTTTTTTCCCTTTTGGGTGAGCGAACACGTACTACTTCTTTTATCAATACCTTTCCATCTAAAATCTGTACGTTTCAAACCTTACTCTAGGTTTTGTTCGCTTTCCCGATTCTATAATCAGTTACTTTTACTTTTGTTTTTATCTATTCTTTTATCGTCTATTGCTGATTATGGAGTCGAAATAAACTTATACTTATACTTATCCGACTTGCAACTGACAGGAGCCACATGGACGTTTTTGTCTTATTGTCGTCCAGTAAACAAGGTCACGTGGCCCGTGCAAGTCCTCTATAGAAAACAAACGAAATATACTGATCATGTTAATGGTGTGACCGGAGTCGCGAGGGACCTATAAAGGTCTTCTAGCAGCGACACCTAGCTAATGCAGGTTAGTATAAAAAAGTAACTAAATGAGACACAACTACTGAATACCAGTAGTTGCAGCAGTATACATTATTGAGAGAGAGAGAGAGTTTATTTCATTTTGTCAAACCAAGAAAACAATTTATGCACACATAAACAAATATCAAAAAAATTGTTTTCGGTATATGACTGGGGGGCAACGATACGACCTTTGGGGGTCATCAGAGTCAGTTGCCACCCAATTATATTGAATAAGCATAAAAATAACAGGTTCGTGTCAATATATCAATGTCTCTCACGATTTAAACTATGTACAATATTTACATGAATTTACTATTTTCAATTATGGAAGCATTCTTTTAAATAATGGGATTTTGCACAAATTGAAATTATATTGCAAAATATAAAATGATCGAAACGAAAAAAAGTGGGAAAGCAGGTCAGACAAGCTACCCCTTATTTGGGTAACTTGTTTTATAGAATGAATTTAAGTTAAACATAACAAGTGGGATTTAGCATACTACTGTGCTACTGTGCAGATTATTTAACAAAATAAATATATACCTATCGCGAGAGAATGCACTGAAGAGAGAAAATGGGAGGACAACAAGAAAAAAGAATAAAGTGATAGCACAGACATGCAAAGAGTCAGCATGTGGTGATAGCCTTCCTAACATTTTCTCAATTTTCATTTACTAAAATTTGGAATGCGACGATTTAAAAACGTGGTCCGTGAGTTTTCCACGTATCGGAATACAATATATTTCCTTTTGTAATAATAAGTATAAGTTAAAATAAGTATAAGTTTATTTCGACTCCATAATCAGCAATAGACGATAAAATAATAGATAAAAAAACAAAAATAAAAGTAACTGATTTTAGAATCGGGAGAGCGAACAGAACCTCGAGTAAGGTTTGAAACGTACAGATTTTAGATGGGAAGGTATCGATAAAAGAAGTAGTACATGTTCGCTCACCCAAAAGTAAAAAAAAAACTATTTAATAATCGTGGCAGAAAATATCGCCGAAACTGATCACTTGACTTGACAATTTTGACTTGACTTGAGACTCTTTATATGCGTAAGAGGGCGACAGAATGATCGACCACCTCGTGATGTCAGAAATGAACAGAAAAGATGGGATCACTGCACCTGTTGGAATGGCTGAATGGTGGTCGTGCGTGGAAATTCGATATTAATGTTGGAAGCATTGGAACGGATACAATGATTTTAAAGTGAACCAACCGAAAACGACAAAAGAACCCAACACCCCAATCCATGATTTGTGCATAGACTGCTATGGAACATCCAATCCATTTACCAAGCTTGTTTTTTAGTAAAAAAAAATTTGTCACTGTGTTGTATTTGCAATATAATTGAAGTAGGCCCACAACATCACCATTTTTCGTCAGCGAGTGTTTTAATCCATATATCTGTATAGGAAAAGCGCATACACGTCTCACATTTTAATTTGAATTTATAAGTTGTTCCCCGATGTTACATCGTGTTTTTGTTTTATTCTGGTTTTGGGGGACGGGCACGTACTTATACGTATTTAACTTTTTTATTAAGTTATGCCCGTCCTCCAGGTCCTCTGTATTTTGTTTGTCCCTTTGTTATTGCTTTGTGTTTTGTTTGTATCAGAGTGACCGAATAAAATTGATTGATTGATTGATGTCCATGACGCTTTACTGGGGTAATCCCCACGGCTGACTAGTACGGTATAGTACCTGTTGAATGCGGTTGGCTCTTTCATTCTTTTGTGTAATGTTTTTGGTTCGTTTTTTAATAATTTTTAAAAGATTTTTTGCCAAAATACTAAACATTTGCAGTAACTTTATTTAAATTTAATATGGAGATATATTATTTGCAGCGTCTGCAACTAATTTGTAACTTACAATGGTCAGACCAACGACTAACATAGAGCAGTAGAGTGAGACAAAGATATTTTGTGGTATTGGTGTATTGGTAATATCAATATCGAAAGACCAATTACTGAAAATGGGACGCAAGTGGAGAAGTTCAAACGAAGGTGGGTTTGAAGTGATACCGGTATGGCGGTATGGTCTGCCCTAGTAGCCATGGCAATATATGAAATTTTTTATTTGTAGATATCCCAAATAACTTGATTCCAACTAGGATAAAATAGGATTTACATATATATCCGGGGAGAAGAAAGTTGATGAGAGACCTAACCATGTGGCGAACCACGGCCTCTCGTCTGGTTACCATTGCATGACGGGTATGGAGTTAGTTAGTCATTTGTTTTCGGTTGCATGGACTTGATGGTGGAGGAAGCCGTAACCGACCAGCGGTCACATCAACCACCCTAAGGCGTTGAGGAGTAAGGCAATCCTCTTGCACATAACTTTCTTCGCATGGGATTTAAACCTGCGAACCTACGCACAGTAATCAGAGATGCGAACGAGCGAACACAAACTACTTTTTTTATCAATACCTTCCCATCTAAAATCTGTACGTTTCAAACCTTACTCTAGGTTTTGTTCGCTTTCCCGATTCTATAGTCAGTTACTTTTGTTTTTATCTATTTTTTTAACGTCTACTGCTGATTATGGAGTCGAAATAAACTTATAACTTATACTTATGCAGAGGCGAGCGTATTCCTAACGCTCAGCAAGATGAGCCACACCATCGCTCCGACTAAATGAAGGTTCGGCGCATGACAGAATATTGATTAGCATTTGGAAATAAATCCCCTCCCTTGATGATAATTTAATAATTTCATGGCCATTTTCTGCGCTATATATTATATATATACATAAAGATATTTTGTTTTCAAAACAGTCCTTGTTGTAAGTTTATCCAATCTAAAGTTTATCGATTTCTCTGTTTCTCATTTTCAGCGGTTATTGCAAGACTCTAGATACAATTTTTCAAATGGTCAACCTATTGTTATGCGATAAGTATTTTTTCAGCGCCTTATATTGTGAAGAAATTATATTTTGAGAAAATTCTGGATTTTGGCTTCAAAGCACGGTGGCAAATCAAGAAAGCTCGTGAAGCAGTTTTTTTCAATGTTGAAGTCTATAGGAATCAAGAACTTGAGGTGAGAATTAGAGTTGTGTGATGTGGTTAGGGCTATCGGTTGTCAAGATTTCATCATCCATCGTCCCTTTTATAAAACTCTCAAAATTTCATGCTTCTCAATATAAAATACCTTAGTTCTGCTTTTAATTGGTTTCTATCAGTTATTTCATTATCCATGTTTAATTGTTAAAAAAACAGCAAATGAACATAAAACAAGAAACCCACCGCATCCCAAGAATTAAAAAATTACCGTCGAGTAACTTCAAATTAATGTAGTCATTTGAAATGGTACCTAGCAGATCCATTTGCTAGTAGTTTATTGAGTAGCCCTCTAGTGGGGCTGAAGACAAACCTCTACTTAGAGCATTGCACCGACTATGTTACGAATCAAAATCTTAGGTTCAACCCATCTATATCCACCACCTCACCAAGGTTGTAAAAATCAAATATGCAATGCATAACCTTAAAGGTTCCAGTCATTTCAAAATAGTGACTACTTGTCCAGAGCCTATGTTCAAGGTTAATGGCATTGCAGAATACAGTTATTTAAATATAGAATATATGTGGGAGAAGGAAGACAATAAGTTGGCTTAATCATACGAAAGACCTCTGCCCTTTCTGTATAAAATATGTAAACAACCCTGAAATGCTTGAAGGTTCAATCATTTGTCTCTTATGCAATATCATTACAATCCACCCATCATACACGAACCCACCCAGTACAATCAAGAGATGAGTTGATAAGCTTGTTCCAAATAGCTGGTGTCACTTGGTTTTGATTGCCTGCTGTCTTCAACAGATTTTTTTCCGATTTTTTATAGAGACAAGAAGACAAACTAGATGGCGAATCTCTCACTATTGTTGGATGCAGACCGTCGTCCGAGTACAAAGTTGTAGTTTACCCTGTAAATGCCCAAGGAGTTGTCAATGGACCAGCAATAAGCGGAATATTTTTGACAGGTTTGTTATATAGGATAGGGATTTTATATTTATTGCAGCGATGGGAAGTCTATAAGTCGAGCCAATTGCTTGGATAGAGTATTCCAGGGGTCGGCAACCTTTTGAACTCAGCGTGCCATTTTATGAATAACGAGCACCTTTGCGTGCCAAACATTTTTATGTGTTTGGTTTGCAACTACCTGATTTGAATAGTAAGAGAATGTAAAACAGATTTATTTTATACGATAACGTGCATGGAAATTAGCTAACGCGAGCTTTCAGCATATGGCATTTCTACCTTCGACCTGTCTTTGCACGACTTAATTAATAGATTTGAAGGCCACTCACAATTAGTTTTGTAGCCAGAAAAGATGTGAACGCGTCAATACTAAAGAAAAGAGAATTTATTCCATCATTTTTGTTAGGGATACACATGCTGACTCTTTGCATGTCTGTGCTATCATTTCAGCGTTCGCTACATGATCAAAATTTTGGCTTCAGTGAGGTACCCAGTCAGCCAGGCGCTTTACCAGAATTTTCAAAAAGCAGGGTGGTCAAATCGGAAAATTTCATTTCCTCCTGAAACAGTCTCCGTGATTAAGCGTTCGTAAGAAGACAGACTTTCAGTGTATACCGACTTTTCTGTCGCGTAAAATGTTCAATTCACGACAGCTACGAGAATCTATAAAACTTTCTTCTATATTGATATAACTGTGTCCATAGTAACTCGCGGTTGCGTCTTCTTTTGTCAAAATATAAACATTAATAGTCTAAAATACCGCTCAATGTGTTGATATCAGTAAATCACAAATACATATTTATCGCCTTGAAATCCCTGCGGAAGGACTTTTCCGTTATGCAAAGTGATCAATCCATGACCGATACAGTCATATTTAAATTGTCTTGCTTTATTCTAATTTACTTATCCTAAATTTAACCTGCGGTTGTGTGGACAAAATAAATGCTTCACTATTCACTACCCTAAAATACCACGGCAATCCGCGGACATAAAAATGTGTGGTAAACTTCCCGGTTATATCTAGTTTTGATCCGTATTTTTGCCGTTTTGCGAATTCGACAAATCTGAGCTGTACTTGCAACAATGACTCTACTCTATCGCAATGCTGCCACTCAGATTATTTCCAAGATGAAACCGTTAGAAAAATCCCAAGTCTGCTATAAAATCTCACGGAGTAAAATTTATTTTAGTACAGTAAAAATTGATTGAATATACTTTAATTAATTATCTTATATATCACCACGACTCAGGAAAAAGTCGCGTTCCCAACCTTGTAATATGATACGTATAATATTAACACGAAAATTTGTGACGGCAATTCGAAGTAATGGATAAAAAAACAAAATCTGCACACAACTAACTGTGCGAATTTGATTCTAGTGACATTATGATTGTCAACGCCGCCCAAACTTATGCGTACCCTAGGCAGACGAAATTTTGCGACGTTTGTGGTTCCATATTTAGTATTTTATATTGCTGCTTTTCCATAAAAAAATTTGCGTCGCCGATTCACTCTTTTATTTGACTCAAGTAACTCGCCGCCGATTATTGTATAATAACTATCAGCGAATTCACAATTCTGAGCGAGTACAAAAAGAAAGGAATTATTATCGATGTCGTGAAAAAAATTTTGTGATTTAGGGAGAATAAACACCAACTTAAAAGTGTTTACGACCTAAATAACACGTCCCGCTGACAAAAACAAAGGGCGATTTTAGCAAACAGTTGTACGAATTGCCCAAGTATGAATTGATAAAATAATATTCAATATATCACGATTTTTAGAGAGCAAAAGGTACCCCAACAGTAGTATAAAAAGTCGATGGTAGTTGAACATGTAGTTTCAATAGCGAAGCGTTTCCTAAGGTAGCCTAATCTGGCAACCCTGCACCGCAAACGCTCAATTACACTGATTTCCCGTACAGATTTCAGTCTGTGATCCATCGCTTTTCCGAAAGTAGCAAAATGTGGCAAACCGCACCGCACACGCCTATTTACACTGATTTCGCATACAGATTTTGGCTTCTTGTCGATTGCAGTTGAATATTACATGTTTTATCGATGAATTTGTCGAATTGTTTTTTTTGTTCAAATGTAGAATGTTTGTCGAACTACTAAAATAAATATCTGAATCTGCCTAAAATCACTTGGCGTGCCATGAGAAATCCTCTCGCGTGCCACAATTGGCACGCGTGCCAGGGGTTGCCGACCTCTGGAGTAATCTAACGTGCAAAAGCAAGTCTACTTTCTCTCTCCTAATACTTACCTACATATATGTATTGTGTCTGTCTCCTTGGTATAAATTGTTTCAAGCAAGCTCACTCACACAGAAGTGTTTCGTTATAGTGTCACCTGCTCTTAAAAAAAATTTCACACTATCACAGGTACAACGCCAATATATGGTTTGCGAGTGAATGAAGACAAAAATGCAATTTCTTTGTCTTGGGTCGAACCTCAAGAAGACAATATTCAATACAAAATTCAAAGCTATAAAAAGGGTTTTTTGTGGGGATGGAATCTCATTGGCTGTGAAGATACGACACAGCCACACTTTTGGCTCAAATCACCAACGCCAGGAGTAAAGTATCGGTTCACAATCCAGGCAAAAAATTCTCATGGCCTAGTTGGAAAGAAAAAAGAAATTTATAAGAAATGTAGTAAGTATCTTGTTGTATGCTGTTTTATTTTTCTGGTCGATTTTTAGATTGCATAGTAATCTAATGCATTTAGGTTTGTACATTGAAAAAAATGTGTGAGACATGCTAGCAATTGGTCAAAAACTTCAATCAGTCCACCATATTATAGATTCATACTTTTAGCTTTCCTGAGTCTGGAATAAAGATGAAAGATTTACCTCGATTACACAAAACTAAACATATTTTCCAGCCGGCAAATGCACTGTACATTTTCACATTGTGAAGAAGGATCCCAACGATATAATGGTTTTATACATGTCAGATGAGGAAAAACTGGAAAAATATCTAAAAACATGGATTGATGATGGATACAGCACTATTCGTCCAGTATCAATCCCCATCATCATGTACAGCTCGAGAAAATACAAGAGTAAGCTACACTGCGAAGCAAGATCTGTTCCTGTCTACCCAGACAAAGGTCACGAATTGGAGGATCAGTTGCTTCTCGATGACCACCTGGTGGCTTATAAATTTGTTGCCAAAGCTTCGGAGAAAGGCGAATTCGTACTCGAATTCAAGGTAGAGGAAAATGGCGACGTCATCAAGACTGAACCATTTGTCATAAGTTCAGGTATATTAACTATGGAATGCTATATATATTGTATATTTTTTGGTGCTCCTGAAGTATGTGCACCAAAATGGCGCACAACCAGAACATAGTAAGTGTACCAGGCTGGGGTTCAGGTTGTGCGCCATCCTGATGCACTACTTCCGAAGCGCCTATTTTTCAATCTATATTTATGCACACTCAGAACAAGGCCGTGTACAAGCACTCCATTGATTTATAAGCATGTGTAAGGAGATACCATTTTGTTTGGTACTGCCTACCCAATTTTTAAACTGTAGGATTTAAACCTGAGATGTGTAATCTGTGATGCCGATATAGTTGAATGTAATGCTTTAACCAGCTTGGCCAGTATTATATGATAGGACAGAGAGCTACATATATTGTGTGTTTGACTAGATTGAGAATAAAACTGTTGGTGTCATAGGGGTGGGTGGCGAACTTTTTTGAATGAAGGTCAAATTTTTTTTCATTATGGAAATTACAGCAGTGGGTTTTGTTTAAACAATGTATACAGTTGCTACTGCATCTTATCCCTGAGTCCCACAATCCATGGTCGAATAGTTTTGAACTTGACACATGCAGCAGAGGAATTTCATAGGCGGAAACATGAATTCGCATGTACGTGTATTAGAGCTAAGATCTGAAGCCCGACCTGACCCGAAATTTGGGTTGGGTCGGGCCTGAAATGTCAATCATTAGGCTCGGGTCTGTTCGGGCTTCTCTATTGCTGTTTTTTTTTTAAATAAATATGTTTATAAAAAATATATACCAAATCTATGTGTGAATACCTAACTAAGAAATACTCGTTATAAAATAATTTGCATAAAACAGAAGAAGCTGTAATGGATCTTTCCCCGACCTTTGACCCCGAAAATATTCTCCCCATACCACACCATTGCAAAATTTTCGGGCCTATTTTAAGAGTGGTTTCGCATAAAATGGAGTATTTGTTTCAAACCATCATTATAATTCATCGCATGGAACAACATGTTTTTTAAGAGTACTGATGAGAAAATCGGTAATTCCAGCCAGTTAATTAGTCGGGGTTGGATCAGGTTTAATGCCCATGGGCTGGATTGGGCGAGGCTGGAATTTTTGGGCCCGATTTTACCTCTAACGTGAATTACTGAACAACGTTTATAATGCTACGGCAAATCTTTTCGAAAGAGTTTCGAAGAAAATTGGTTCAAGAAAAAAATCGGAAGGGAATTCTGATTCTGAATGATATAATATTATCATACATTGTATTAACTTTACTGTTATGTTTTTGATATTCAGCTGGCGCTCAACCTCTTCATCAGTATCATGTTCAAGCTGCCAATGCAAACTTTGGAGAAAACGGTGGAGATGTTACAGTTGAGGGAGGAGGGGTTCTCAATGTTGGTTCTGGACAAAGCCATAATTCAGGCATTTCTACAGGTCAGCTATTCTCCTGATCATATTGGGTTTACAGTACTGGCGTTCATTGCATCTTTACAGTTTTAAATAGCCCTTAGCAGTTCGGTGGTCCCTTCTAACTCTGTACATATATGAAATTCTCCAAAATACATAGTTTTTACATATTTTACCTTTTTATAAAGAAATAGGCTCTGGACTAGTTGTCACTTGTGGATATGGATCTATCACATCAGGAAAAAATACAGTGTTAATAAATAGCTTTGCCTACACAATTAAAGGCACTCTCACAAGTTATGTAATAGACCTGGATTCGAACTCAAGATCTTGTGACACCAATATAGTAGGTCAACTCCTAAGCAACTGATATAATGTTTATTTGCACCTCTTTCGTCGTACAAGGCATTGTACACATATCCACTGATATACAACAAGATACTATTTTTAGATGGAGTGGGATCATCCTGGTTTGGCATTGGCTACCCAATGTCCCCACGTCTGAGTGAGTTAATGAACACGGGATCCTGAACTTGCAATGTGTAAACTCTGAAGAATGATTCTTTAACCGCTCGCCCATTATACCTACAATCAATTCAGTTTACTTGTGAATTATTTGAACTCTCTGATCTAAGCTATTTTATGTTCTATTTATACAGAATCTGTTCAAGGACATTCAGTTCCTCAAGGAAATAGACCAAACAATCGAATCAGACGTTCGCTTAGAAGATCCAGCTTTAACTCAATAACCCGGAAACCTGGATATCGACCGTTGTGATGTTTCGAGCAAGAAACGAGCAAACTTGTATAAAAACACATAAGTTTGTTTGTCAAACAAGCTTAATTCGTGCATCACCACACACTTATGTACAGGACTGTGGAAAACGACTCTAGCTTCAAGAAAATCAAATTATGATAGTGAATTTTTATTCATCTTATTTGATTAATCTCCTATGCTTTGTTTTCTTTATTATCAGAATTGGGCCTTTTGAGATGTGTTTTTCTCTAATTTATGCAAATTACTTACCTGATTTTATTCTGTGTGTCAATATAAAAATACCGGTACTCCCAAAGTACGTGAACCAAGATGACGGACACCGGAACTTAGTAAGTGTAGAAGGTTAAGGTTAGGCCATAATTTCAGGTACAAAATACTTGGAATAAAATTATGCCCTAACCCTAACCTGGTACATATATGCCTACTATGTTCCGATGTCCGCCAACTTAGTACACAGACTTTGGGAGTACCTACCTATATATACCTACATAGATAGTGCTCATATTCATACCCGCACTGTCCTAAGATTAAATGTATAGCTTTATATTGTTTGTTTATGATTGTTGATTCATCATGCTTAACTTTAAGATAACATGTTTATCAATTCACTGCTAGTGCTAATTAACATTTGCTATCAGTAATGGTTCTAACTTTTTTTTTCTTTTCCACCTATTTTGGATTTCTTTATTCCTCCCTCACTATGCATAAAAAGTTTGTCGCAGAATAAAATTGATTTAAAAAGTGCAATATCTTGTTGTTTTTTATCGACTTTTATCTATGCATTATATAATTCCTTTTAATGCTTTTTGTGACATTGCATTATGGTATTATTATTATTTGTGCAATATAAATTTCTAATTTCAACTTATTGGTGCTTGCTCTAGCATAATCTAAGTACAGACAGTTAGATAACTACGATTCTTTTTGAGTTGTGATGTGATTTAGGAGTCTTACTGAACACTAACACAAGTATATTTTTGTACAGGGAAGTTTCCTCTTTTTATTTTTTGTGCCATTTGTGTTAGAGCGCATAATCTTGAATCACTTAAAAGAGTCATCTTTATTTCTGCTTTAGTATTGTTTCATCATGAGCATATGGCTCAACTAACACAAGGATTTATTTCTTTTTCCACTTTGAACCTCTATAATATCGTCCCTAAATTATCGCACCCCCGTTCTAGAATTGCTGAAAATAGTATTTACATATGTGTAAATAGCGAAGCCATTGTATTACATTCAATAATTTCATGTATCTCATTTTAACAGTCTTACGATAAAGGAGAAGAGGGGAGAGTTTTTTCACAATTCAATGTATTAAAGGCCTTGTACTTTTAACCAAACCTCATGATTCACCATTCTCACACTCTCTAAGAACACTTTTTGCATCCCTGGGGCTGCGCGTGCACCTCATGCCAAAAACATTGATATAAAGAAAAGATAGCTATGATATTTTTTTGAACCATTGCGCAAAAGTTTGATCATCTTTTATTAATTGAATTGTATAAACTATAGAAATTTATCAAAGCAGTATTAAATATTAAAGTAAATCAAATTTAATATAAGTGGCAAACCTGATAAGTATTTCATTGTATATTTAAACAATATACCTATATTAATATAATATAGATAGACGCTCTGGTTTGAATGCAAGCTTACAAATCTCTGTACTGGCAGAACCCTAGGTTGTCGCGGAACCTTGGCTGAAAACACTGTATTAGAGCCACTGCTTTTGAACTGATTTGTGTCTATCATAACTCTATTATTGTTTAAGTGGCTCTTAGCATTGCAGTGGTTACCTGTAACTTTACTTTGCGGTGGATTTCGTAGATTTGTTCCGTAGTGGTTGTCATAGTTTGTTCACACCTGAGTTATTTTTTCAAGTGGGGGCGGAGGCTGATCCGATTGTCTCTTGTTTGTGTTTGGATTATATTTTATCAATTTGTGTGATTCTGTGCTCTATTACTTGATATTCTGTTAATAAAGCAATGATAATCTATTCATCTTTGTTATCATGTTCACCACAGATGGTTTTCACAACAGGATTATCGTTCATTTTAATGAGAATAGCATTTTTATATTGAGTCTGCCCAGTCGTAGGAGATTTTCAATCTCTAGTTAATGAAAAATTGGTCTATTAGTTGTGATTCTTCCTGAACCCAAATAAACAACAGCAATTAAAAAACGACCCATATTATGTAAAAAACGGTGTCCGATATCGCCAAAACTTATCAAGTTTGACTACTTATCTGTGCAGAGGACGACATCATAGCCGACCGCTTTGTGATGTCCGTTGGACTTCACTGGGGGATTCCCCCGGGTCGCATGGTACGGTACCGTTGAATGCGACTTCGTCGCTTTTATGTTTTGGCTTCCTCCTAATTGCTTTACATATTTTTTTGCAAAATATTTGATATCCGCAGTATTCAAAGTTAATTTGAATATTCACAAATTTACAGTACCTTCAACTAATTGTTAGCTTAAAAGTAAGAGACATAGATATGTAGATTTGTGATAATATGAATATCGAATGACCAATTACTGAAATATGGGAAGTAACCAGTCAGTCCCCTGGCAAAGTCCAGATGAAGGTAAGTTTGGAGTGATATTGACTGATATTACCATGCGATGACTAGCAGCCATGGCAATGTATGAAGTACCGGTATATATATAAATATTTATTGACCAAATAATTTTATTCAAACTAAATGAAGACTCTGCGGTTGCTGCACGGTGGTAATAACTACCATATCTCAAACATACTTTGCTCCAGCTTTTGAGCGCGAGGAGTGTGAGGTCTTTTGCTGCATCTAATTTTTTCTCAATTCTATTAAATACGGAAATACCTTCCTAGAATATTAACAAAACGTTTTTGTATTTACAGAAATGGAAGACTACATTAGAGCCTCCCAACATCTGAGGCATTCAGGTAGGCACCCAATCATACAGTTTTTTTCTGTTCCATGAAATTCTTTTTCGACGTATAGCATATTTTCCTACTGTTTTAATTTGAAGTACTTCTAGTCCCTCGTTAGTTGATGCTGATGGAAACTGTAGCAGTGGTCTTGTATAAACTATCGATGTATATATAAAAGTAAACCTAAGCTGGCGGAACAAAATGATCCATGGGTACCCCTTCCGTTACCCAGATTAAGAACGCCTGCTCAGGTCCATTATGCCCAGGATAGATCATGAAATACATCAATATCCAGCTTCTGTCAGCAATCAAACACAAAAAACATAGCAATTTTTTTTAATAAAGCCCCCCCCCCCCCTTCCCTTGTGTAAAATTAAAAAAAAAAGTGTTTAACATATTTTTATGCAACATGCTTTTTTTCAGTGCCTCATATTGTGAAGAAATTATATCTTAAGAGAATTCTGGATTTTGGCTTCCAAGCACGGTGGGAAATCAAGAAAGCTTGTGATGCAGTTTTTCACAATGTTGTAGTCTTTAGGAACCAAGAACTTGAGGTGAGAAATAGAATTGAGTACGTTTAGAGCCGGGATGAGGAATTGGAACCTGGACCAGTAGCATATTTTAAGAGCTGGAGCCAGGTTCACCAACTGGATGGAGTCCAAGCTACCGGAAATTTCAAAGACTCTAGCTTTTAACCATCTGGTTATTACTCCACGTTTATAATTTTTAATACGATGTTTAAATAATTAAATCCATCCTTTTTTGGTTATAGTTTTATTTTCAATTTCATTTGAAAGTTTAAAACCCTATCATTTTTTTCCCCTCACTCAAAACTGCATTTGGGTCAATGTTTACGGTAGAGGTCGTACCGGAAAACCTTGTTATCGGGCTAAAACCATTGTGATCTCTAACAAGATCCTCGGGCCCTTGCTAGAGCGTTTTACCCAACCATTTTCGGTCTGAGGGTTTAAGTTCTCATGTTTTACCCTGATTCTCACACAGAGTCTAAAAATTGAGCAGATGCGTCACAGAACAGAGAAGAAATAGTTTCTTCCAAAAATGATAGCTCTAAATGTATCTTGGCAGTGCGGCGCGTCATGCTAAGTGTTAGGAATACTTTTGCTACCGGGAATGGAGAGAAATCATGTGCGAGAGAATTGCTGGACTACCCGCCACCATAGGGGGGGTTCAAGAAACTGCTGGTCGGTTTCAGCTTTTTTCACCGTCATGTCTAGGCATTTGAAACAAATAACAGGCCAACTAATCCCATACCCGAAATAGACCGGTAAACACGCGAGAGGCCGTTGTGTGCCATATGATTAAGTGGTCTTATCATTGACTTTTTTCACTTCCAGGATAAATATGTAAAGCCCATCCTATCTGTTGCTGCATGTCTAGAGCTTCTTTCAAGTTCTTGCTTCAAATTGAATGTGTGAAAATACTCTTACTTACAAATATCCAAAATAAAAGAATTGATTGCAACAACGACAATAAATTCTACTATTTCATTAATTCAACGATTCTCTCGCTCACCCACTAAACATAACAAAACTGAATCGCTAAATTCCACCGTATTGGATTTGATTTCCTTTGAACTCATTTTCAGCGGAGATAAGATTGGCAGAATAATCCCATCCCAATCAAAGGATAATATTGCTGTCAGTTATTTTTTATTGCCTGTTGACTTAACATATATTTTCTCTGATTTTTTAAAGAGACAAAAAAGCAAACTCAATGACACATCTTTTACCATTGTTGGATGCAGACCGTCGTCTGAGTACAAAGTTGTTGTTTATCCAAGAAATGCTGAAGGAGTTATCAATGGTCCAGGAATAAGCAGAATATTTTGGACAGGTTTGTCATATAGGATAGGAATTTTATGTTCATCTCAGGGTAGTCTATGACAGGGGTGGGCAACCTTTTTCGGCTCGCGTGCCCAAATCGGCTAAATTTAACGACAAAATTCTTCCGCGTCCCGATCAAAATTAAAAACAATGCTTTGTTACTTTTAAAGCAAAAATACACAATAATATACCCTCTAAACATGTAAGCTACAGACAGATTCACTATTCGGGAAAATATGAGTCCGACAAATAGATTTTATTACTTTTTCTATTCTATATAAGTGAGACTCTTGCTACTGCATTACCGTTGATAGAGATTTACATTGAAAAAAAATTCTGAACTACTGGTTTCATATTTCAGGCTACTCCTGTTATGAGACTTAATAAAGTGCATAACTGAGAACAGAAAATCACAAGCATATGTAGATAACAACATGCAGTTGCAAAGTTTTTGAGACACGAAAAATTCTCGGGAATGGCTTCCCAATCATGCGATAGTTCGTTTTCTGCACTTCTCTCTTGTATTCCCTTCTATAATTGCTTATATTTCTTTCGAAATCTATTTATTTCAGTAAGTTAGCAAGTAACTCTAACCAACATGAGCTGTACAACTTCCATAAATCAATCAGAAATGAAGAAAAATTGTGGCACAGACTATATATTACATAACAATGAACCCAATGAATGCTGTGTCTCGTCACAATTAGTCAAGAGCTAACTCAGTTGTTATGTCATAATATATTTCTTTGTAGCCATGTCATGAAAAGACAAAAAGAGTTTAAAATTGTAAATGAGTAACAGATTGTTAACAAACGATAATGAATAAACAAACACCGAGCTTCATCAGATGAATCAGAGCCTCGAAACTTTTTATCTAAAGGAGAATAATCTCGTCTTCGAGGCCTCGCTCGCGTGCCGAATAAATGGGCCAGGGGTTGCCCACTCCTGGTCTATGAGATAGCTTGAATACACCTTGTGCACCCATGTAGAGTAAACGAACAGGTGATGAGGTTAAATGCTTATTTATTTATTTCTAATGCTTACATTGGAATTGGAATAAAATTATGCCCTAACCTGGTACACTAACCGGTGTTCGCGATCTTGGTGCACATCTTACTGGAACGCCAAAAACATTGCCACCACAATATTACATTATGTAATTCGTTGTAGTTTTTATCATTAAATTTTTATAGTTTGTTGGAATATTGAACATAGCAACCTCCTGCAGATCCCAAAATAACGTTCCCTTCTGATTAAAAAAACTGCCACCACACTATTACAGATCCAACGCCAATACATGGTTTGCGAGTTAATGAAGACAAAGGAAAGATATTTTTATCTTGGGACGAACCTGAAGAAGACAATATTCGATACAAAATTGAAAGCTATGAAGAGGGTTTTTTGTGGGGATGGAATCTCATTGGCTGTGAAGAAACTGACCAGCCACGCTTTTGGCTCAAATCACCAACACCAGGAGTAAAATACTGCTTCACTATTCAAGCAACAAATTTTCATGGCCTAGTTGGGGAGAAAAAAGAAATTTATAAGAAATGTAGTAAGTATGTTAGGAAAGGATTCACATATTTATCCCGGGGGAAAAGAAAAAAAATGAGACAGCTTGATCACATGGTGAACCACTGCCTCGTCCGGTTACCAGTCCATTTCGAGTAAAGGATTAGTTAACCAGTTAATTGTTTCAGATGCATGGACTCGATTGTGAAGAAAGTTGTAACCGATAGGCGGTTCCTTCGTAGGCGGCGAGGAGCCCAGCAATCCTCTCACAGATAATTATCTCCCACAGGATTTAGACCTGCAAACCCAGTCAGGGTAATCAGTGGTGCGTTGATGAGCGTATTTCTAACGCCTGCACGATGCACCACAGTTGGGTCCTTTTCTAAATCTTTGTCTTATAAAAATTTAAATAATATTTTTCAGCCGGCAAATACACTGTACATGTTTACATAGTCAAAAAGGATCCCCACGATATAAGTGTTCTGTATGGGTTAGATGAGGAAGAACTGAAGAATACTTTACAAACATGGATTGATGATGGATACAGCACTATTCGTCCAGTATCAATCCCCATTATCATGTACAGCTCGAGAAAATACAAGAGTAAGCTAAACTGCGAAGCAAGGTCTGTTCCTGTCTACCCAGACAAAGGTCACGAATTGGAGGATCAGTTGCTTCTGGACGACCACACGGTGGCGTATAGTTTTGTTGCCAGAGCTTCGGAGAGAGGCGAATTCGTTCTCGAATTCAAGATAGAGGAAAATGGCAACCTGATCAAGACTGAACCATTTGTTCTAAATTCAGGTATATTGATTATATTATATGTAGATATGCTTTTATACTTTATTAACTTTATTAGGATAGGATAGGACTTACATATTTATCTTGGGGGAGAGGAAAGCTGATAAGACAACTTAATCATATGGCTAACCATATGGCCTCTCATTCGGTTACCAGTCCATGTTGGGTATGAATATTTTATAACACAGAATATTACAGAAATCAAATAGAACCTAAACGAAATAATGATCGAGTATGTAGTTGTATATTTTTATAATTGCTGCAATGCTTGTTATTTTCTGGTTGGCAAAAAATGAATCTCTTTCTCTCTCTCACTATTAAGTACGAGGAACGAAAATTGTGAAACAATTTTTGGCACTGGTACCCAGATGAGAAACCTGCTTCGCCATGTGCTCAAGCCATCGGTCTGGCTTTGCTTTCTGAATATGAAAATTCTATTCCATATAAACACATACGGTTATGTTTTTGAACTACAGCTGGCACCCAACCTCTTCAACAATATCATGTTCAAACCGCCAATGCAAACTTTGAAGAAAACGGTGGAGATGTCGTACTGAGTGGTGGAGGGGTTGCCTATGTTGGTTCTGGACAAAGCCATAATTATAATGTGCCAGGCACTACGGGTTAGCTATTTTCTTAATCATACCATCATGCATCAATTGACCCTGATGTGCAATACAGTTGCAGTAATCAAAAATTAATCTCAGAAAAACTATGATTGAATTGTTATCAGCGCCTGGTCGTATATTTTGATAAAATGCAAGACTTGACACAAACATAATAATAAGAACCGGCATTTGAACGTAGATAGATGACAGGAATAATTACACCAAAATCACGAAAGATACTTATGTATAGTAAAATGTATGTAAAAATTTAAAAAGTCTGCTTACAAACTTTATAGGGCGGGCGGCAAAAACTGTTCGGCGGGCCGCATGTGGCCCGTAGGTTGGGCAGCCTTGGCATAGATAATAGATTGGACTAAGGTATAGGCTTTGCAAAGCAAAGGAATTACTCGCACGCACCAAATTAAATTTCCTTGCAAGCAGCACAATTTTTCCTTGAGGTCCACATTTGGCCTAGGTTGCACACCTCTGATGTACGCAATCAGTAAGGTTCAATGTGTTGACGACTTGTTCGCTTGTGAATTATTCAACCTCTTTAACATGAGCATTCGATTTTGTATTTATAAAGGATCTGTTCAAGGGCATCCAGTTAGTCAAGAAGAAAGAAGAAACACTCCGACCAGAAGTTGGCGTGAAAGAGCACTTCCAACATCTCGGCGATCTGGATATGAGCGGTTGTAACATTGCAAGACACAAAACAAGCAAACCTTTATCCAACGATTGACTAAGTTTTTTAACATAAACCAAGTAAACTCACCTGGGCTGGAGTGGAAATGAAAATCGACTTCGACTTTGCTGAAATATATTTCTGGCTTTGATTCAGAGCTAAATATTAAATAGAATTTCGATAGTTAATGCTCAATGTTCACCTGTGAATTTTCCATCAGCATTGGATGTAACTTATTTCTAGAAATTAAATTTAGCAAAGAACGCTTAATTTGTACATATTTTAACCTACGGTAAGACTACACCTGGGCATATGGTGGTATACCACATGCTAAGTAGCAATGTAATATTTGTGTCTTTAAAGAAAAAAAAACGATCTACAATTAATTTTTGATACTTGATTTCCTACAGGAGTTTTGTATTGTTTTTATATTTTTTGTTAACCCCCTGAGACTTATTTGGACCAAAATTTGTTAATTTGATTATTAATCTAAAACAGCTAATGCCTGATTGTCACTGTAAGGCTTTTTTTATTTTTAATTGTTTTTATATTTCACCTCGATAAAAATTTCACTGATTTTGATGAATTGCGCCACAGATTAAAATTATGTTGTATATAATTCTGCAATTAACGTGATTTCTTACTTTTTATTGGAAAAATTTTGCGCTGATCCAAGTTTGAGATATGCTACAATCCACTCTTATACACTAACATATTCCTATGCAGTTTTATCAGGTGTCTTATTTTTTAAACTCCATGATCAAATTTTTTACTTTCAAATTGTCCTTTTGTTCGTGCTCAGGAACAGTCGAAAACAGGCAATTTATCATTCAGAAATAAAAAAATTTTAATATGAAATTGGCCATCATCAAACGTGCGTACAAACACATAGCTTGGTATGGTGTCTCAATCTTGCTCAAGCTCCATTTAAAATAGGCAAAATGTAAGCTTTGGGCCACCTGCACAAAAAAGAAAAGTATGGTCAACGTATAAAATTGCTACTTTTGGTGCAATGGCCTGTTTCCAGTGTTAAGCTGTGATATTAACTATGTTGGTTGGAGATTTCCGGGTTCAATCTTCATGCCCATCACATCACCAAGGCTTCAATAAATTTGGTAGGCAATGCAAAACAAAAATGATTTCGTCTTCTTGTTGAAACCATTTTTATATCAGTAGCTGCTTGCCTAAAGCCCGCAATATAGTGTAAAAACTTGAAAGTCATCTCAAATCAACTTTTAATAGCCAATTAACTCTAGTTGCATGAATATAGAGCACCAATTTGCAATAAACCCCATTTAATTCATACAGCATGTTCTATAAGCATGTTTTACCACCACTGTAAAATTAAATTCTGAATTTTGGGCAGACTGTATAATATTTTTTCTAATTTGTTGTTGTTAGACGTATGCATTTCAACATGACATAGTTTTTTGTAAGACAGTTATATTGCTAATTATGTGTATCATGGTCATCAATTTTGAATATATCAAATTCTTCACAATATTGTGTGCATTTTCAGTTGGAGTACCTGTGATTTTAGGTGTTGTAGTTTTTCAGCTGGGTTTTTATCGTATACATAAATGGTTTGAACATGGGCCGCTGTGAACCAGTGCTCATTTACAGTCAGCGTGCCTATTTTGGGTATGTGGAATTCACTACCTTATCGCAATTCTACTTTATAATTTCTTGTAGTCTCGGTTGTCTCTTGTCATTTAAAGGTCGCACGTTACTCATCTCAGGGATGACTCTCATTTATTTCTGCGTGACCTTGCTTTGTGCAAATTTCTTTAAAAAAAATTCTGTGGTGAATGTCATTAGTGTTAGATACAAGTTCCTAGATCTTCGGCCAATGGACATTTAAATGTCAAGTCCGGGTCGCAGTGAAGTTTTCATGTTTGAATTTTGCCAAATCCTGTTAAGCCTATTTGCTACTGTTCTGAATCACAAGCCATGGTAAATTTAAGAACATAACCTCCAAATGAATTACCGTAATATTATATTTGAAACCTCAATTAGCCATCAATATTTTGAAAATCTAATTAGGATTCAAGCACTTATTGCATTCTTGTTACCGACCAGTGGTTACATAAATCACCATGTGACAATAAATGATGGCAAACCTCACGCATAATTATGCACCTCACAAGATTCAAACCTCTAATCAAGCACTGGGTACGTATGTAATCAGCAGTGGGATGAATGCATGAATCCGCATGATGCTCCAATCTTTCATCCGACTAGGCACACAATTTGTCTAATCTGTCTCTTACCTCTTCTAGATGTATAAAAAGCTCCGAAGCCCTTTTCAATTCAAGGTCCATAGCAGTGGTTCCCAATCTTTTATGGCTCATAGCCTCCTTTTGTGTGAAGTAATCTTATCAAGCAATGAAACCAGGCAGAAGTTTTCTTGTTGAACGAAATGTAGCATCAGTTTCGCGCCCAGGATTGTGGGTGGCCCCCTCGGCCTGGGGGAAAGGGGTCTATGGGCCCCTGGTAGGGAACCACTGATATATGTTGTCTATAAAGTCTTAAAATTACAAAGGAAATTCAATCATACTTTGGCTCTCGTAACAAATTGAAATTGTAAAGGGACCTAATAGACACCCCTCAGGCGCCAGGATTTTCAAAAGGGGTGGTTTCAAAATCGGTATTTCCCATTGTCGTCTGTAACAGTCACAGTGATTACGCGCACGTTGAAAGAGCCAATTTTTCAGCGTACGCCCTGCATATAAATCTCCAAACTCCTCCCAGTTCAAGCTCTATCAGACTCACATCTATAGGATACTTGGATAAAACGAAATTCACGTTTATTGATGTATATTTGTGAACTATTTTCAAGAAAACTTGATAAAATCAGCAGAAAAAGCGCCAAGAGAAATGCTCATTATCACACACTGCTAAGTAAGAGAGAAACGAAAAAAAAAAAAAGCTCAACAGTGAAAAGTCTATAGCGTCCACAAATACCTTTAAAACGACAAAAATTGACAGAATGGTTCTCAATATTCGAAACAAAAATGCTGAAATTGAGACAACATTCACTTTGGTCTAGGTGTGCTAAGTACCAGTACTGACAATAGTGTTATTGTCAAAATAGTGTTATTATAACTTGCCAATGTGGTACAAGACAAGGCCTTGTATTAAAATTTGTTTTGGTTAATTAATCTAACCCAGAGTTGGGCATTTTGTAAAGTAAGAAAGGCTAATTTTGAATACATAATTTTTGAATGAATGGTCTTAATGAATATGCATCCATAAATAGTAGGGGGGTTTGGGATGAAATGCCTCAATTTTATAATATAAGGGTGATTCAAGAACAAACAAAACTCATAAATTTCATAATTACTACAAAAATTTATTTAACACTTGAACTTCTGTTCGAGTATGATTGTGCACAAAAATTTCAGTGTTCCGGGACGCTTTGACCAAAAGTTATGTTTTCTCTAGAATATGTTTCATATATGACTTAGATATTTTTTTTGGGGGGGGAGGGAGGGGGTGTCATCTTGTACTCCTATTCAATTGATTCACTTCAAATAAGCCATGTATGAGCATCCACGGATATCGCTATGTAGATAGAGAACAAACAATAGGAATATTCTGTCTTTGGTTCCTATCATTACAAAGCCTACAGCATAAATAACAATGAAAAAAAATAAGCATGGCTTCAAAGTGTTGCATTAAATAAAATATCATCTAAAATAATTGTATATTTGAAAGTTATGTTCTTGACCAACAAGGTTCAAGAACCTAAGCTACTTTTGAAAGGTTATCATAGTTATGAAGTAAGTCTAAGGAAGGCAGCATGAGAATTAGTTTCGTTACTATATTTACGGATCATACGGCGTACTTTAAGATCTATTTTTCAAAAGTAGATTTTTCCCCTTCAAGCCAGCACGCCTAATGCATGAATCCGGTAGTGCTTTATTGCCTACAATTAGAAACAGTACCGGTTGCGTCTTATAGTCTTGTGTGCCTTACACATGAACAAAAACCCAATCTAAGCAATTTATAGACGGCCTTACGATCAATAAAATATGGTACTTCTTATTATTTATGCTAAGTGGTTCACATTTACAAAGAAAATATTCCAAAAGCTTCGAAAAAAGTTACTAAATGAATGTAGTTGGATTTTATTGTATTTGTTTTGGACACCATGCAATCATGGTTTAAATAAGGTCTTCCCAAACTTTTAAGCGACCTCTTCCAATTTATTAAAATGCCCCCCTTCGAAAAGTGCCACGCTTCGCGGGTCTTGCAATCAAAGCCAGCATTGTTATGCAAGCAGGCCTCTTCTTTGATCCCATGTATTCTCTCGAAATCGTGAGATTTATGTTTTGCACTAGTTTTAATAATTGTGTTTCGAATTAAAAGTCTAAAAAAGTAGATAGATATAGTACTTTATGTGAAATTGGTGTACTCTTTGCTACGCTTAAAATTCGTTGCGCGCCTCCCTGAAGGGTCGCAGGCTCCAGTTTGGGAAGCCCTGGTTTAATTAAATAAATCAAGAAAGGAAACAAACACCTGGTAGAGTAACTAATATAGGTCCGGTGTAAATTTTTGATATTCTATGCTCTTTTGAAAAATAACCTAAAATTAGTCGTAAATCGTGGCATAGTTATTTTTGTGTGGAAATTAAATAATTTGTGATTGGAAACCAATGAATTGCAGGTATATACAAAAATAAGGAAAAAACAATCATGCAGCACTTTTTGGCAAAACAGCAAAAAAATATGTTTTCAATAAACTAAAGATAAATTCTCAGGAACAAGAAAATGGGGTATGGTCTACTTGAATACCATTCTAACCACGATTTAGATTAAATGAAGCATGAATGATCAGAATACACTTGCGATTCCAACCACGATTAAGAGCCAATGAAGCATGATTGGTCAGAACAATACCACCTTCAAATAAAGGTGCAGTTGCTGCCAAACCTCATATACCATTCCAACTACTAATTAGAATCAACGGGGCTTGATTGGTCAGAATAATCTCCCTTTCATATAAATAGGTTCTCGCTGCCTATTCATGCTTCAATAAGTTTAGTTAGTATGAGTATTCAAGTATACCATACCCTTTCATAATACACCAGCGATATATTTTTAAAGCACGTTCGACATTTTAAAATAAATCAAATAAATATAGATGGTCATACAATGAGATTCAGTCGGAAATCAGTTTATACAAAATTAGAAATTATTGCTGAATGCTGATTATTAAAAATATTTATATTCTCAGATAATGGAGGAATCCTAAATGCATTGAAATATTAAACTTTTGTAATTTAATGGAATCAGGATACAACTTATGGACACCTACTCCAAAACTACTTGGTAGAAATCAAAAATTGATTTAAAAACAAAAATAAATATTAACAAAGACAGATCATCACCATGCATATGTCAGACAAGCAGAGAGAAGACATTGTTACAAACTGTGGTAATAGAGATATATTTGACATAAGTACTGAGATACGGGTTCATCAAAGCCAAATTTAAATTTTTCTGCTAAACCAGAATTTAAATAATTCTGAATCAAATAGATTTGTATGAACTACAGCAATAAAATCTCCAAACCCGAATTTCACCAATAACACGAAAACTCTGCGTCAGAATTTTGCTTTTCAGAGCTAAATTTTGCTGTAAATGCCAGCAAGTTCAATTTTTGAATAACTTTGTATTGGATAGATAAGTCCCACCCTCTCTAAGACCCTATAGCAAGCCCAATTACAATATCAATATTAGATCAGATAATTTGGTGGTTGATATTTCACAAAATCTTGAAAGTAAATAATAAATCAAATAGTAATAAATATCTTTGGATCTTTCCCCCATCATTAAAGTAAACAAAGACAGATAAGGACTCCTATTTGCTATTAGAATTGACTTATATAGTAAGGATATAGGACTACTCACAGTATATATAGTGTAATGCATGGTGCTATGTTATCCAAAAATTGGTTTTGGGTAAAATACATTTCAAACCCATCCTTAAATAATATTTCATAACTAAAATAATACAAATGACTGCTTTCTCCCAAAAATTGACAATTTTGATAACAAAATCAGATTTATGACAAATTTTACAGATTGAGTGTTTTATTAAGTGACATGCCCCCTCTTAATTGCCCCTAATGCAAAAGTTTTTGAAAGGGTTCCAGTGACAGTCTTCTGGTTGAAACTAGGATAAATTGGAACTAGGAATGTCCAAATACCTTGCTAATAGATTTTAAAATGGGTCATACTCAACAAAGAAATTCACATAAATCAAAGGTATATTTAATTAAGACTAAAGTTGAAATTGTAGATAAATCAAGATGAACATTGTTACGATTGATTTTCTAATTTCAAAGTAATCAAGAGCTGCATAAATATTTTTGGTTCACCTGTCAGATTTTACTAATCGGTACTTTTAACAAATTTCGACAATTTTTCAATATTTTAAAATTGAGAATCCAAGATTTTATTAATTCTGGATATCCCTGATTACAATTAAAATAAAATAGTTGAGAAATAGTTTTTACTGCAGAGACGAGGCGTCTAGTATTTGAGGATTATTGTTTTAATTTATACACTGATTGGATACGTTTCATTGATCTTCAAAAGTTCACTGAAGCAAATCACAGAGCTTATATTGAACTTCATATTAAGATGCAAAATGCAGGTTCTGAAATCAGCAAGATATTGCTGAAAAAAACTTGACATCTCTGTCCTTGTCACTTTGAAGTTCTTTGAGCATTGCACACATTTCCTCTCCCTCCCCTTCATCACAGAACGTTTGGACAGCGTACGAGAGAGCTTGGGCTGCGATTATTCGTACATTCACTATTCCGTCGCGTGCCATCTCGACCAATGTAGTTGAAAAATACTTTAAAAATATGTTGAACGGTAAGAGCAGCTCTCGTAGAATAAGGTTGCATATTTTGCAGAATAATGCCCGTTCTTTCCAGCGAGTACTCTTCGCCAATGCGGACGTAACTCGCTCCGTAAAAATCTGGAAATTTCTCTCATCCCCTGATTCATGTAGTTCGTTCAAAAGCCTTCCGATTAGTCCTCCAGCTTCCTCTTGAACTGCGACGACTCTATCCGTGGCCAGACGCATCGTTATTGGACAAATATACTTCACAATGTCGTCAGAGTTATACAGCTCAGTGAGAGAGCACAATTGTCTTGCCAGCTCATAGCGGAATCTCCAATTACGGCTGTTATCGATAGTGAGAAAGTCCGTTAGTTGGTAAAGATATATTCCACGGACTTCAGGTTTGAGTAGCTTTAAAAATTCTGCTAGGTGGCGCAACACTCCGATTCTAACATCGTCTAAATCTTTCAAGAATCCGTTGAAAACTGGAACTAACTCAGTCGCTGTCAATTCTTCCCCTAAAATTTTTGCCAATTCATGAATTGATGACGCTATTGTTCTCCGAACTTTCCATTGTACGTCCGAAGCCAGCTTTTGGTAAACGTCTTTCAAACAATGCCAATTATTTCGTCCGAGAGTGTACGCGACACCAGGAAGACTATAAGCACAGTGCATCGTTATTTCAGTGTCTACGGTTTGCTTTCTAGACGGATCAGTCATTGATAAGAAATTATCAAGCAACTGTTGTGGAATGACTGACTGCTGGCTTGATGCTTTGGAAGTGGGACTATGTACAGAAGATATAGGATCGAAATGGGCATAGTGATCCGATCCAGAAATACGATCGGCAAAATCACGAGTGTAGTTGATATCATTAAGCGTACTGAACATTCGATAATTGATTTCCATATTATCACTTGATTCCGTTTCATACAAATCTGGGTATTCCTGTAAACTCGGACTTTGCCAATTTCGTGGCTCGTTTTCATCATAGTATTCATCATCACTGTCATCGCTGCTTTCTTGATTTCCGTTTTCTGTAGCCGAGGGCGTTTTCTCTGTGACGGTTTCAGTTTGCTCTTTGGTCTCTTCTGTAATGGAACTTTCTGTCGAGTCTCCTTTTGCTAAATCAGAATCGTCATTTGGAATTACTTCTTCTGTGGTTTTCTCCAATCCAGAATCATCTGTAAATACTTCGACATTTCCATTTGTTGTTGTTAAATTTATCGAAGGAACGGCGTTAAGGTCATCATATTCTTCTTCTTGTTTATCATCCTTTATTTCTGCTGACTCAGCGTTCTCGTTTTCGGCTTTATCCAAATTAATATCAAAATGAATCGGCATGTTTTCTTTTTCCGCTGAAAACTCAATCGATTTCAAAACATCATCTTTGGTCGGTGAATAAACGTCATCATCCTGTTGTTCAACTGCAGTTTGAACTTTCAGCTGCTTACTTGTTTCTTTTTGCTCTAATTGTTCATCCGGCTTATCCTCCTCGTTTTGGTGGGTGGGATTAGAACTATTCACGTAAACTTGAGACTGAATTTCGTCTGTTTCCTCGTTTTGATCCATCGGAGTGACATCATCAAAATCTTCTTCGAAAGTGACGGGTGGTATCGGGTCACGCCAGTAAAGGAAGGAATCAAAATCATATTTCAATTCATCATCAGTGATTTTATAATCAGGCACACCTGTTGCCGCTTGATTAAAATTATCACTCGCCGATTTGCTGTCAGCAAACGTAGATATAAAAGGTCCGAGAGACTCGAAAGCTGCGACGCGGACCCATCTAGATTGGTCTGATAGAAGACCACTGTACAATGGAGAGAGCGTGTTGATACGAACTTCTTCAGACATGTGTTTAGCAAAGTCAGGGAAACTCTCTGCGCAAGATTTTCTCACCCCCCATACATTGTCTTTGCATAAACCGATAAATCGTGGCAGAAGATCTTTGTTGATAAGTGCATCATCGAGAATGTCACAAAATGCTGAAAAATTGGCGGCACAAACTTTACGGACATGAAATATAGTGTCATCAGAACAAGAATCCAAAAATATTGGCAAAAAATATTCTTTTGCGAATTCTGAGCCGAAGGATTCACAAATTTGACACACGAGGGCGATAGCTTCTGTACGGTATTCGTCAGGGGCCTGTTTACGTGAAGTGAGATCCTTTAGCAACGGTAAAATTTCATTTTCAAACTGACCAACTTTTAAATATCCAGCTTTTGTTATGTCTACTAAAACACTATGGCAGGTTTTGCGGACTTGATTATTCACGTCAGTGAGGTATCGGAGTAAAATAGGCACCACAGCACTGTCTAGCAATCTTGTATGAAATATTTCTGTTATCTCAGCAAGTTGTTCCATGAGTTCGACTCGAACTGACGGTTCTAAATCTTCTGAAAGCTTGAGATAACACTGAATAGCAGATTCAAAATCATTCTCGTTATTTTGCACGGCTTCAAAAACATTACAAGCATCGTGAGCAATCATTCTACGATTAAATATATTGTCACTAACAGCGAAACATCTCAATCTTGCTAACGGTGTCAAAAGCTCTTCAGGTGTAGTGACATCGAGTGGTGACGGAATTGAAGAATCGTTAAAAGCCATAATTCCGCTACCAATTGTGCTAAATGACATTTGACCGTGCTGGTCACCTTCATTATTGTCATCTTCTTGGTCGTCAAAGTTCTCGTCCATGTCCACCTCCATATCCTCGTTCGGAAGGTTTAGGACGATCCGTAAATCAGTCATATTAGTTGATTTATATCGTCAAAATGAGCAAAATCTGGCACTTTTATCCAATTCAGAAATAATAAATTTTCTCTTTGCGAAGTACAGGCAGATTTTAATTTGCACAGCAATGTATTAATTCTTCGTCCTTTGTATAGAATTTAAAACTAGATTTTTCGATAAACTTTAATTTAAAGCTGAATTAAAATATTAACAATAAAATATTGATTATGAGACATAGTAGTATAAGAACAATGATTAAATGAAATAATAAACATAAACAACTAGATTTAGAACAATTTTACTTTGGTGCTAATCTATGAAGCATGAAATAGCAGCATTGGTTTCTCCTGGATAACAATCAGATATTCTAACAAGTCAGGCTTCATTAATTTTCGGAAGTGGAGGAGACTGAAGGATACCAAATTAGACCAAAATACACGACAGCCGTAATTTTCAGCTTATAAATTGGATAGGTAATGTCGAACCTAAAAGATCTTGGGAAACGATGAACTAACATTGCTCAGTTAACAAAGTAGCAAAATGAAAGGATTTGGATATTTATGCCGGGTAATGGGAATACCATCTAAGGCAGCATCTTGTCTGGTTACCAGTGATGTCCATAACAAATAGTAAAAAACTAAAAGTAAATAAAATGACAACAAATTTGGTTTTTGGACTTTAATATTTGATATATTAATTTATATATATATTGTTCGTCTTATTTCTATTGAACTTGTATCAAAGTTAGACTCTTATCACAGGTGTCGCTGCTCGATAACCAACTTTGGTTGTTCGCGTCACCTTTCAATATGAAATGTCATTTTCAACTTTCTTTAAGTGTATGTTCACTGTGAGTGCATTTTCATTTTGGTGAAAAATAAACTACTGACTGACAAAAGTTACTCTAACATAAGGAAATACCTCACAAACATAATTGATGCCTATTTAAAAGCATAATTTAAGAGAATATTTACGGTATGTACAAAAAACAACACTAGCATGAAAATATCTGAAATATTTCAATAGATGAACAAACACATTTTTTCCATAATATACAACTGGATATTTCATATTTAAAACAGTTGATAATACGAGTCAGAAATGGCCAGAATACTGATTTTCAAAATTGCTGTACTTTTCTCGTTGTGGGGTTGCAAGTATAATTACTATATTTATAAGCACTATTATGAAAAAAAAAGATATTTGAGCAAATAACTTTAAATTGGTAATAAATTGAAATTGGTAATAAATTGAAATTGGTATTGCAGAATGATTCAAATAGTATATATTTCACACATTACAGTGTCAAAGGTGAATATTGTCTGATATCGGATGTCAAATCTTTACAATGATAAATTTTTTAAACAAAATTATTTTTAATTCTTCCTAATTTTACTGTATCGACTATCTTCAATTAAGGATGTGTTCAAATATTTGGATGGAATATTCTTGATGGGAATATCCTCTGTTTTTTTGTTGTTCTGAGTTTAATGGACTAGCAGTCAACCGTGTTTAGGATCATTATAATGGGTAGGGAACATTAAATACAAAAAAGAGGACAGTTTAAAAAAGACGCACTTTCACTTATGTAAATGAAATAGCAACAGAAGTTATGAAATGGAAGACTTTACCATCTTAGAAGAATATAGTTGATGCTGCTAGTTTCAGCTTCAATGACTACACGATGAGGATGAATTTTTTTCTGAAGTATATTACATCATGTTACATTCCTATTTTTTAAACCAAACTTATTACTGCATATTTAATAGAGAATTAATAGCTGCATCCTTATTTCCTCCACTTGCTTCTAGAACTGCTTTAATCACGCTATCTTCCACGTTTGGAAACATTTCTTTAACTTGTTTGAGATCTTGTTCTGTGATCGCGGGTTGCTGAATTTGTGTTTGCGGCTGACTTGGTGGATACATACCCCCGACTTGGACACCAGGTGGCACCATGTACCCACCTGCTGCCGCGGGCATCATCATAGGTACACCAGCAGGATTATAGACGTGTGGGAACATCATCGGCATTGGAGCGTTGTATATAATTGGTTGCTGAACTTTGGACCATGAAATTTGTAAATGTATCATTCCTTCCTTTTCGTCGCCAAGTTTTCCGCTTAACGGCCACCAATCATCTTCAGATTTCCCACTTTTTATCGCGTCCGAAATGTCAATTTTACCCCACGCTATTCTGTTATCAATAGAAAAGGCTCTTTCATCGTAAATTTCTATCTTGATATGTTTTAAATCCTGTGCCACCGTAGTTGAAATAGTTTTATTCCAATATGGAAGCTTTGCGCCATTTTGTGCTGTTGCAGTTTCATAAACTGCATGTCCCACAATAACACGGCAGTATGGATCCATTCTTGTAACACCATAATTCTTATTTAATTTTGCTTCAACTAAGGTTAAATTCAATCTGGTTGCAGTTCCTGCAACAGCAGTTTGTGTCAGCATTTGTTGCTGCTGTAACGCCATTTGCTGTGCCAGGGTTGCGTCGTTCCTTGATTGTCCTGTTGAAACAGCGGTTTTTATTCTCAAAAAATCAGATGAAAGTTGTCCCAGAAGGACTTTACCTCGTTTAGTGTCTGTCAACTTCATACCGCCATTTCCGTTTACTGTTGGAGCCTGTGCAGGCTGAGGTTGAACTGCCGAAGCCATAGTACCCTAAGTGATAACTCAAATCTACAAAAATTTCAAACGATTGAAAACGACAGGTCAACGGAAAACTGGAAAAAGAGAACTAGACCCACAAAGATCAGAGCCAGAGAGCGGAATAGAAAATACAATTTGATACGCTTTAAGGGTCGAAGGTCATAATATTATAGGATTTTCATATTTAGAATTTACATATTTACCCGGGGAGCCGACAAGACGACTTAATCATATGGCGAACCAATGCCTCTCGTCAGGTTACCGATACATGTCGAGTACATAAGGTTAGTTAGCCATTCTTTATTTCAGACGCTTGGACTTTATGGTGGAGGAAGCCGTAGCCGACCAGGGGTTGTTACGTGAACCACCCTACGGCGGCGAGAAGTCCAGCAATCTTTTCGCACCTAATCATCACTCACGGCCCACGGGGTTCAAACTTGCGAACCTACGCAGAGGTGCGGTGGGGAGCGTATTTCTGACGCTCAGCATGATGCGCCACGCCGCCGAGCCGGGAGGAAATCCGACAAGATTGGCTAAACCAGCGTTTTTCAAACTGTCTTCCACGGAACACTAGTGTTCCGCGAGCGTCTTCGAAGTGTTACGTCTAAAATGGTCGCCATGGCGATCTTGGGAACGTGAAGTTGTCGTCTAACTGGCCGTCACCTTTACTTACTGGGGTAGTAGCTTTTTCCGTCGGCCTAGCTTGTTGAATGTTCATTATCGAGTTTACAGCAATCCTTTTGATTTTTGCTATAGGCAAACGAGTAGGAAGAATAAAGACAAAAAGTCAACACTTCTTCCCCATCTCTGCCTGGTTTTACTCTAAAATGCTGAAAAAATTACTCATTTCGCTAAACTCTATTCAGTAGGTGAACTGCAGTAAAATAAATGAATTGATCCATATACACAGCATTCAAATTAGGAAATAATAAAACATTTATAATAAATGCATTATGTAAAATATTCAACACAATCCTGTTAATTTTCGCGGCGCATTGAGAACCCACTGGGAACGGCTACATTACACCGTTATTCTTTATCAACTTTACCCTTTCATTTTTTGGGGTTCCGCGAAGCGAGATAAAAAGTGTAAGTGTTCCGTGGCCGAAAAAGTTTCGAAAACACTGGGCTAAACCATGTGGCATACCACAGCCACTCGCTCGGTTTCAGTCCATGTCGACTAAGATTGTGTTAAGCCAGTTATTTGTTTCATGTGCGTGTACTTGATAGTGGGGTAAGCTATACACGACTGGTGGTTACATGAACCATCCACCACACGACGGACAAGAGTCCACAGAGCTGCCCAATTCACGCTCCGGCTTGTACTTGGTCGCGTAAATTTGTAAGCAGACTTTTAATATTATATTTTAGTACTCTTATATATTTTTAATCATGTTTTGCAATTCTGGCATAATTGATTCGGTAAGTTTTATTTCCCCCCAGTTTTCCTTGTCTCATAGATAGATAGATTTATTTTGAAGACTCCATAATACACACAAAATATAAAGGGAGAATTCTGGAGAGCGAACAAAACCTTTAAAAAGTTTAAAACATGAGAAATATAATGTGCCCGACCACCAGCACACACACAAAAAAAAAAATCACAATAAACACAAACCTTTTTAAACAAGGCTTGGGCTAGAAATGAACAAACAAAAGATACGCGGATGTATTTTGGAGCACTCAATCTACAGTAATTAGGATTTAGAGTCAATCCAGTACGGAATATCTGTATAGGCCAAATTTAAATGTCTTGAAAGGATTGTTGAATCGGGTTCTTCTGTGGTTTTCGAATATTTCAATTTAAAATGATCGAATCATATGCCTTAGTTAGATTGATTCTTGCTCCCCGGCGGGCATGAACAATTAGTTTTTTTGTCAATACGATTATTGTGAGGTCGTTATATAGGAATGAATTTGCAACTCAAATTAATTTCACTCCGATTCTTGTCTTTCGTGCTGGCTCTGGAAATTGTTGTATTTTTCCGTTTTATTCTTTTGTCGCATCTGTGATATCGCGTTAATAAAAACTTCCGTTAAAGTCGTAATTGCGTATACCAGTACAGTAAGCAGCTGGTCAGTGCCGCATTTTCCATTAAAATGATGATAAAATCGACAATAACGGCATTTTTAAAATAATACATATTAAAAATAATATAATTCTACAAAATCTCAGAAAATGTACATGTAATACTTAATTACGTGTTTGATGTTTCGAGAAGTTGTTGAAATTCGTGCTTCATCAGCGCGCAATATGGTCAAATAAGAATTGGAACGATAGGCTCTGAAATATTTATTAAAAAAATAATAATAGCAATAAACACCATAATACAAACCTTTCTATTGGACGTCTCTGTCTGTCAGCGGAAATGTGTGCAAAAATTCTCGCTTGCTCGTCTGTATAACCCAAGTGCCGCGTGTTATCCAACCATTTGGATCAGCGCAACGCAAGCGCCGCGTCCAGTGAAATGGCCCCGGCCACGAGTTACCAGATACTCGAATAGTGAAATGCCATTCGAATATTTAATTGTTCGATTCGATATTGGGATATTTTCCCCATCCCAGGTCGTTGACGACTCGACGAGCAATTGTTGACTTAATTGATTTTATTTAAATAAACTTGCTTTTCATACGGTAAATCCTCACATAAACTAGAATTGCATTGGAGTTTAGTAAAAATGTTCATCGCCACATAGTGATTATCTTCATCTGAAAGTGGTTCGTAAAACAAAAAACGGTTGGGCAGGACTGCTCTAGCACATAAAAACAGGACGCAACTTACAAACCCACGCAGGATTACAAGCGTAATCCTAACGTTGTCGCCACCCGTTTTGCCGAAATTATGAAATCACTCAACTTCTGTCCACACTTTACATTATTAACTGCCTGATTTTAAAACCTCTCTGAAATCGCAATATGCTTATTTAAATCAATTAAACAGTTTTTACCGCAATAGCACGGAACGCAAAAAGCGCAATACACAATGATTTTTAACTATTAATTTATTTCCGAATGACACGAAAGTACACGTTTTAGTATAAAAAGGAATATTGATTATAAAATATAATCGGAATGGACCTCTGTGAAATTATCATAAAATTGCGAAATTTGAGCTTGCAAAATCCGCACTTTGTAAAAACAAATGTTCCCACTGATATCTTGTTAGAAAGTCTATATATTGCTTAGTTTTGCGATGGTAATATATATATCTAGCAGCCAATATATATATACTAAACACGCTAAAACGCTTAAAATAGTTCACAGTAAATCTCATACTTTTATAAGGTTTGTTTGAAAATAACTGAATCCCGTACAATGTCATGCGAAGGCACGAGTCAACTATTGAATCTACTCTAGGAATCCTACTGCCTGAAAATCCGACCCGGAGAGTTACCTGATAAGCTCACGACAATTTATTTAAATTCTTCCGCCATTTTGCTTTGTCAAATCCTGTTAATTAAGTGGACTACAGGCCCCTAATTCCTATACGTTCGCTGCCCGAAAAAGCGCTGGAACAGAAGTTCACTCGTGCGTCCATGATCTGCATTGTAACAAGAGAGCTATGCTCAAATATATGGACACGTAGAGTCACATAATTTTGATGACGTCATAGCGAAAAAAGAATTAATAGCCTTCTGGAGAAAATTTTTATCTTTAACCACTAAAAATTTCAAAGCAATTGGTCCAGTATTCGAAGAGAAAAGCGACTTTTTAAAAACGTGTCAAGCGGTACTGAGTTAGCAGTCAGGCAGCATCTTACCTGTACACTGTAGGCCATATACGGTAATTGATCACAGAACAGTTGTTCCCTTGCAAATTTTATGTTGTTTACACTTTAGGACAGATAATTGATCACAGAACAATTCTTCCCTTTCAAATTTTATGTTGTTTCCAGTAGACTCTCATCAAAATAAACAAATATAGTAGGCTACAAGTGCTACAACGCTTGCATTACTGCACTGGTAGGACCGTGAAAGAATAAGTTACGGTAATTTCATTGTGGTAAGACACCGGTACCGGCACCAGTACCAGTATCGTACTTACGTACTGAGCTACCAGTACCGGTACCGAACCTGTAGGTCTGATATTCCGTTCCGCATACGATAGGCTATAAAACTTGCATTGCAGCATTAGTAATACCGCGGAAGGAATAAGTCAATTTCACTGCGTTACGGCACCGGTATGGCAACTTACCAGTACCGACCTACAGTAGCTGTAGTACTGAGCAAGACAATCGATCGCGAAACCGCTTGAAATAAGTGTAAAACAGTGTTCCCATGAGTAAAAATAAATACCGCGAAATTTTGTATGAAATATCATATCTCATAGGATTCATATAAAATTTAAGAATAAAAAAAGTAATAGCCTTCTAGCGAAAAAATTAATCTTCAACCACTGAAAATTTCAAAGCAATTGGTCCAGTATTCGAAGAGAAAAGCGACTTTTTAAAAACGTGTCAAAGAACAAGAACAACAACAAGAACAACAAGAACAACAACAACATAATATTGAAACGATCGTTATGTCCACTACGTGTCCAACAATGGTAATTTTGATCTATTGTTGAAGGTACCGATGACCGACTGTCAGTTTAGTTCGGACACAGCTCTAGTTAATTTGACCAGTAGGCATATAATTTCAAAGACTATTCGAATTGGATATTACTTGGTGATTACCTTCGAGGGACGATATCCTGATATTTGTTTCGGGCAGGTTTGATTTTATTTATATTGGGCAGAAATCCATATTATCTGGGATAGCCTAGGTCGGGCGATATTGCACTTGCATCGGTACGATTGTATCCACCCGACTAACTTAACTGACTATGATAGCCTAGTAGCAATCTGTGGTGTGCATGTTGCTGGCAATGCGCGTGAGCTTAGAATCTGATAAAGAGAAGCTTTCCAAAAATGCAAAACATTATTCGTTGCGGAATTTCTCATACAGAGATTCGTAGTACCGGGCATGTGAATTTTGCTCTAGTTTATTTCGTTTGGCTTCTCAAATCTAATACGCGTAGGTATGTATGAAGTCTATAGGTAAATAATCCGCGGATCTTTTGTACAAAGCCCCCGCCACTAATAAAATGTGAGATTTTAGAAAAAACACCCTCCCGCTACATTTTTGAATAACAAAATATTAAGATCTTTTGTACAAACCCCCGGAATGATTTATAATTTCCAGCGCAATCTGCTTTCCTAACCCTAG